CGTGTCCGAAACGTTGTGGCGCTGCATGGGCTTGGATGCCTGCGTACCTGCGCCTGCGCCTGCGCCTGCTGTGGCCTGCGCAAGGCCTTGCTGGGGTCCTTTCCCCGCTCTGCATCCCCCGCTGCTTGGTGTACTCATCAAACTCACACTGTGTGAACATACTTTCCCCACATTTCAGGATTGAAGGCCACATCTGGACGCAGAGGAAGCCATAAGTATGAGCTTGCTGGGTGAGATGTAAGCGCATATATGCAGCCTCTTCATTCGAATGCCACCTCCCATTCTCTGCACTCGACTTGCCACACATACAAGCCTCTGCATCGAGTCTTTGACTCGCCAGACGTTGGCCATTCCCCTGTCAGGACCATAGCGCCAGGAATCTGGTCCAGCCTAGTCGGAAACTCAGACCAACTAGGGCGGTGAAGCCGGACCATCAACGCAATGATCCGAAGGTGTACAAGCAGTGCCATCGAGCACGCCGGTACAGCGAGCACTTCAAAGTCGTCTGTTCTCCTCACCCCACCCGCCGCCCGTATGGGTTCGGCAGTTAATCATCGTAGGCAGTCGAGCTACGAGCGAGCCTCTGCACGACTCCTTGCTCCAGACTGCCTCAATTTGACACTGAGCCCAAAGTGGAAGCGGCACGGTCTGCAGCTCTCAGACCGGCTTGACGCAGGGAAAAGAGAACTGCACAGCACCTCAACGACTCGGGCTACGCGGGTGGTAGACTACTTGTTGGCGGATGTTGGAGAAGGTATAACAGAGTGCGAAATCATCAAATGGTGCGTCGCCCTGCTTGCTCGCCCTCCGTGTATTCTTGAATCGCCATGCACAAGTACGCAAGACCGCCTGAGCTGACTTGGCCAACGTTGTCCATGCTGCCCCTCGATGATTGCATGTCAGGTTCGTTGCACCTGCGAACGACGTCGCCGAGTTCGACGCGTTGGTAGAAGTGCAGTCCGACAAGGCGTGAGTGTGCGCACGCACCCACCTTGGCACGCAAGCGAACTCCATCCCCATGCTTTCACCAAGGCTGACCCGTGTCGGTGCTTCTCTTCTGTCGCCCGATGCGCATGCTCGCAGCTCAGTCGAGATCACCTCGCGATATGCGGGCAGGATTATAGAGCAGTGCTACGCCGTTGGCCAAGTGGCGAGAGTAGGAACGCCTCTTTGCAGGATCGAAGTGGAAGATGACACGGAATCTGCGCCTGCTGAGCTCAGCTCGGAGCGGCTCGAGCCGACGAATGCTTCTACCGCAGCTTCGGAATCATCGATCAGCTCCAACGTCACGCCATCAGCCCAAGAAATACACCCTTCTGCTGCTTCTTTCAGCCCTAGCTCGGGAAAGCATGCTGCATTGGCAACGCCGGCTGTGCGAAGGATTTGCAGGGAGGAGCAGGTGGACGTGTCGGATGTGACGGGTACGGGAAAGGATGGACGCGTGACGAAAGAGGATGTAATGATGTACGTCGCGACCAGATCGTCGGCAGCCGAGTCATCGCCAGGCATCATGCCAACAGATGCCACGCACGCAATGACGAATGAGCAGGACACAGAGGTGGAACTCAATTCCATCAAGCGGGCCATGTTCAGAGCCATGACGGCTTCTTGGAACATACCCCATTTCGGCTACTCTGAGGAATTGGACGTGACGGAGTTGGAACGGCTGCGCAAGAGCATCAATGCATCTCGCGAACAGACTGCGACGAAGCTTACGATGCTACCGCTGCTTTTGAAAGCTCTATCGATGGCGCTGTACGACCACGCGCTGTTCAGGTGCATGGTGCCTTCTCAGGGCGCTTCCTCGTCTGCTTCTGCGCCAAGCACATTGCTGCAAAGGGCAACGCACGACATCTCCATCGCCCTTTCCACTCCCTCTGGTCTTCTCACTCCCACACTGCCCGATATTCGACAATTGTCGGTCTGGGACATTTCGCAGCACGTCAAGCGATTGCAAGACAAAGCTTCATCGAGGGAAAGTAGAGGATTGAGCAGGGCAGATCTGCGCAGCGATAGACCTGGAAGCATCACTCTGAGCAATGTGGGCACTGTTGGAGGAACGGCAATGAGCCCCCTGCTACCGCCCACTGGACAGCTCGCTATCGGAGCCATAGGAAAAGCCAGATTGCTGCCGAGATACGTCGATGAAGCCGGTCTGTCCGGGCATGTCAACGCATCGCCCATTGCTCAACCTAGACTCATCTTGCCCACCTCTTGGACCGCTGATCATCGCTTTGTAGAGGGCGTCGAATTGGCAAAGTTGGTGCAGGATTGGAAAGCGAACGTCGAACATCCGCACAGATGGTTCCTTCGTCTCCGATAAGCGCTCTGACACAAGCCTTTGCTCTCAGGACCCACTCTCGACGCTGTACGCTTGTTTGAAACGACTCCCCTCTAGGCTTTCGAGCAGATGCTACTCAGTTTGTGACGCAGAACAGCGAAAGAAATAAAAGAAAAGCATTGCGCCGCGCAAGTTGATCTTGTCTGACAAGACATGTATTCTCACGACGCTTGACAATGAACCCCACTGCATACCGATTTTGTGATCGATCTCCTAGATAGACATTGCCCCTGTAGCACGGCGCCAATCGTGCAAGACACCTCATCTCTTCCCCTTCACCTTGTCTGAGTACGTCCTCCAAGCAGCCAAGAAGAAGATTTCCGATTGCCGCTCGGCGGCCCAGCGCTCTCGCTGTTGTCGATGCAAGTCGCCGAGGCTGCTCCACTCGTTTCTCTCTCTCTCCTACGCTCAGCAAGGCTGCTGCTGCTGGTCGAAGCATTGCCGCTACGAGCGAGTGCTCAAACGGCCGATTGTCGTGTGCCTGCCAGCTTGTCCAGCACCTGCAAAAGCGGGCAAAGCCGGGAAAAATGTTGCCGCAATGAGCATGAGCAAGGAGGAGGGCGATGCATGGGCTCTCATCCTCCACGACTATCCAAACGTCACTACTTACTCCTCTGACTACGGGCAGACTCAATGCTGGACCGATGAATGGTAGCTGCCTCAAGAAATTGAGAATGACGGGGAAAAAGTCTCTGTAGGGGTTCGCGTGTGAGGCACGTCGTGGGAAAGGGGAAAAAAAGATGGTTGAGCGTTTGGACCACCTTTCGAAAAAGTTGATGCGCGCCAACTAGCGCGCCAAATCTGCTTTCCTTACGGACTGAGCACGCAGCAGCAGCGCCCTTTGCTTTTTTCTCCTCGATTCGACCGACCCAGGCTGCAAACAGTGCGTCGGGCCGCTTGCAAGCCTCACTCACCCAAACAGGTTCAAAAATCCAACAATTTCGATGAGCATTCCGAAAAAGGTCCACTTGGCAAAGACGAGCAGCATTCCCACGAAAAAGCACACTGTTCCCCTCAATTTTTGTTTGCGAGCGAAAAAGTAAAACGTCTTTTGAGGACCTATCAGCAGCGTTATTCCGGCTGTGAAGAGGACATTGCCTAGTGCTAGAAGGGCCGCGTCGAAGAAGAGCAGGATACCTAGCACGAGGAAGAGCGAACCGAAAGAGACTAGCGCTGCTCCGATCTCTGCGAAGGAAAGAAGAGAGAGGATTGCGGCATGGGCGTGTGAGATAGCACCTGGCCTGGCTCGACGATCGCACCCCATCGAAGCGCATTTAGGGACCCCCGTGCTTGTTTCCGGGTCCCCCCCTCCCCTCCAACCACCTGGTCTGCTTTGCCCTTGCTGATGTGTAAGCTTACTCACTTTGCTGATCTGTGAGCCACATCTTCCTCTACTGCTCTTGCGC